TGCCCTTTTCCCCCTTTCTTTTACGTAATGCCTCACGTACCTCCCCCACACTTACATTCTGCTCTTCTTCACTCCTAAAAGATGGTTACCTCCCCGACCCGTGCATGAAATTACTGCCTCTGTTTCTTCCTTAACATTTTTAAAAATTCCTCAAAAAAATTCTCGCCATCTACCAATACCTCCAAACTCCCCATCTACTAACCCCTACTCTGTTTTTAACTGACAAATCCATATTTTTCCCCAGGCTTTTTCTTAACTTGTTTGTGTGTGTATTATTTTTATGTGTGTGTGTGCTTGTATATATATATATTTTATATAACTAAGGGAGGGAAGTTCGGGTGGATATAAGCGATATTGGCAGAAAGGTGGGCTAGTGCAAAATGAGTAGTGGGGGGGTTGAAGAGGGTTGGAATAGTTTTAAAAAGCAGTATTTGAATGTGGGGGCAGAAGTTTGTGGTTAAGGAGGGTGGGGGCAGGAGGAAAAGGGAGTGATTGGTGGAATGATGAGTAAAAGGGGAAAAAGGTATCTTATGAGAGGTTTTTTTACAAAGCAGAAGTGTTATAAGAAGAGCAGAGTATATGGGAAAATAAAGAAAGGAAAGAGAGTGGTGAGAGTTGGGAAAAGGAGAGAGATGATAGATGGAGAGGCACTGCAAGAAATTTTAATGAAAATAAGAAAAATTTTGGAGTGAGTTAAACAAGTTAAGAAAGCCTAGGGAAAATATGGATTTGTCAGTTAAAACAGGTGGGAGTTAGTAGATGGGGGGAATGAGGGATTAGGTAGATGGCGAGAATATTTTGAGAACTTTTAATGTTAAGAAGAAAGAGGCAGTATTTCATTCACTGGCAGGAGGTATACCATCTTTTAGGGTGAAGAAGAGCAAATGTAAGTATGGGGAGGTACGTGAGCATTACGTAAATGAAAGGGGTACTAAACAGCTGGAATGATGGGATCATGACAGAAATGTTTTTTAAAGCAGGGGGATAGTTTTTGGAGTGGTTGTCCCCTTTTGTTTAATAAATATATAAAGAGGGGAAGGTACCTAGAGATTGGGAGAGAGATGTATAGTCCCTTTATAAAGGGAAAGGGGACCAAAAAGACTGTAAAATTATAGACTAATAAGGTTACTGGAAAACCAGGAAGTGTACGGTAGGGTTATATTGAAAGAATTGAGGTAAGACCCGAATGTAGATTGCGGCGGATGAGCAAGGAGGTTTCAGAGTGGTAGGGAATGTGTGATCAAGTGTTTTAAATTTAAGCAATATGTGAAACATTTTTTAGATAAAGGTAGGGAAATTTTATTGCATTTTGGATTTTGAAAAGCATATATGGATTGGATAGAGGAGCAAGTGCAGATGTTGCAAGTATATGGAATAGGTGGTAAAATTATTAATCTGTAAAAGAGTTTTTATGAGGTGTGGGCTTTAGTTTGGGTTGTGTGAGGAGGAGATACTTCCAGTAAAGTGGGCTTGACGGATTGTAATTCACCTTTGGGTTTTTTAATATATTTGTAGATGGGGTGTAAAGGAAGTAATGCAGGGTGTTCGGGAGATTGTTTGGATTAATTTTTGGGGATCAAATTCAAATGGGAATTGACACAGTTACTTTTGCTGATATACTGTGCTTATGGGAGATTTAAAGAAAAATTGCAAGGTTAGTGGAAAGAGTTTGGAATGTTGTGTAAAGTAGAAAGTGAAAGTGACATGAAAAAGTAAGGTGATGAGGTATCAAATGATTAATAAAGTAAATTGGATATTCAAATTGGGGAGGAGGAGTAAAGGAAAGAAGTGAATTTTTTAAGATACTTGGGATTTGACATGTCGGCAGATGAATTTATGAAGGATGAGGTTAATCATAGAATTTGATGAGGAAAAAATGTGAGTGGTGCGTTAGGTATATGTGGGAACAAAAAACATTTTTATGAGGCAAAGAAGGGAATGTATGAAAGTACTGTAAAAGTGGTACCAACACGTTATATGGGTGTGAAGTTGGTTGTAATGTGAGTGAGCAGGGGGTGGAGATGTCCTGTCTAAGGGCAGTGTGTGGTGTAAATATTATGCAGAGAATTCGGATGTGGAAATTAGGAGAAGGTGTGGAGTTAATAAAAGTATTAGAGGGCTGAAGAGGGTTGTTGAGGTGGTTTGGTCATTTAAGAGTGGGGTCAAGTAGAATGACATGGAACATATAAATCTGTAGGGGAAGGAAGTGGGTAGGGGTGTCCTGAAAAAGTTGGAGAGAGGAGGGAAAGGAGGTTTTGTGGGGCGAGGCTTGGGACTTCCAGGTGTTTAGATAGGGTGAATGGAGACGAATGGTATTTGGGACCTTTACAACTGTTGGAAGTGAGCAGGGTAATATTTAGTGAAGGATCAGGGAAATGGTTATTTTTATATACCGACTTTGAAGTACTGGAAATGGAAGTAACAATGCCTCACTTTAAAAGAGGGGTTTGGGATATTGGCAGTTTGGAGGGATATGTTTGTGTTCTTTAAGGGATATGCTTCTAAACTGTGTGTTCGGCACCTCTGAAAAAACAGTGAATTTGTATGAGTGAGGTGAAAGTGTTGAATGAATGATGGAAGTATTTTCTTTTTGGGGTTTTTCTTTCATTTTGGGGCACCTGCTCGGTGGGAGACGGCCAACTTGTTAAAAAAAAATTGTGCCATGATATTTAGGTAGAAACTTAATAGCTGCTTGTTCATGTTTTTAAAGTTATTCTTTCCATAGTTGATACACCCGATTGCAGGAGAAGCTTTGGGTGCCAAGATTTCTTTGGTACATAAATTTGCAAACCAAAATTTACTTTCACTCCCGTTACGAATGAAAGGCAAAGTGTGTCTGCACAAAAGTTCAAAGCAAGCAAAGTAAAGGAGGATAAACAGAGGAATTCCCTTTAGGGAGCATTCTTTTAGCGAGATAAAATTTATGGAAGAGGGGATAAGAAAACAAAAGGAAAAGTCCAGCCGTAGAAATTCTTGATCGTTTTAAAAAAAAAAGAAAAAGTTAAATATTGATTCATTTTTTCTGGAGTATGTCTTAAAAATATAGTGAATTCTTAAAATGAGATGTGCATATCATTTTTATCTTTAATCAGGTAAAATTATTTTTAACCTTACCATGGAAAGTGATAATCCACAGAAATCAATGGCCCTGGGAAATGGAGGGATTCAAGTTCAGTTCAAGGGCGGGGAAGGATAAATTCAGTTCCTGGATCAAACCCTAGTGGGATTGGATGCACTACCATAAGGAGTGCACATAATAAAAATGTTAAACCTGAGAGGGGTACATTGTTATAATCATTTTGTAATAAAATTTGTTCTTGAACTCAATTTTTCTTTTACCCTCAGATTAATAATATAATCAAATTAAGCATTAAACCTGAAAGAGTCGTTTAGCTAACCCCCAGATTAGAGCAGGGGCATGAGTCGTGTTATTAGCAGGGAATGATCGAAGCTTAACCTACTAACTCCAGTTTCATTCTCATGTCAGTGTACACCGATTTTCTAAATCCTCTGACGGTGTTGGGTTTGCAGCAGTGTTCCCGGACAGTAGTGCGAGGTCATTTATTAGACTTGGCTAGCATTTTTACAGTTGAATTGTAGCCCCAAATTTTCTTTGCATTATCCATTTGCATCTAGCCTACCTCAGCATTTGGAGTAGTCTCAGACTCCTTTACTGCTTTGCTTTGGAAGCTGTTAAAAAAAAAATTTGATTCGCCTTATCTAATTCTTCGTATAAAATTTTGGTTTGCTGCATCTCTAGCAAACACAAGGAAATTGTTTTCTGTTGTGTCCCTAGTCATATTTATGTTAGGCAATGAGCAGGCAGACTCTGCTGTAAGTTTTTCGCAGTAACATTACCCTCGAGTTTCATATAGAGGTTTATTTTCGACTACGTAATCTCTTACCACCTTTGCGGAAATTCCTTGTGGCTTAAACCCCATTCCCCTTTTTTTTTAAATTTAATTATCTCTTACCACCTTTGCAACTGTTGGCAACAAGGTTGGTCCTATAAGACTGATAACAAATTACATTCTATCAAACCAAGTTTAGGTTTCTGGCTTTCTTGTCATTGATGCGAGGGGATGGAACTACACTCTGCCCCACATCAGGCACACCTGTCTTGCTCATGGGTATCTCGTGGAGAGGCACCCTGTTCCACTCTGTGAGAATTGTCTAGTTCCAATTTCAGTTTGTCATTATTCTATTGGACTGTCGTGTCTTTCTTTTTTCTCTGACACTGTCACCACTAACGCCCTTACTTTACCTTCCCTCCTTGCTTAATGCTCCACCTTTGACATGGACTCCCTCTGACTTTTTTGGTAGCAACTGATTTATTACACAAACTTTGCATCAACATTAATATTTTTTTCAACCATTTGCTAATGTCATCTTCAGTCTTGTGGGTGAAGATGACAGACTTCTGGTTATATGTACACTGGGCTTATTTTTAAAACACTAGCTGTCTCCCATTAAGGCAAGGTGACCTTTAAAGTAGGAATATGTTCACCATCACTGTCTGCCAGAGGTATGAAGATACTACAGTTCAACACTGCTAATATTCTCACTCCAGATTACAGGCACTGCACTTCTGCTAGCATCCAACAGACCTACACTAACATCACAACTTGGTTGATCAAGGACTTTAAGAGGTGATGAACATACTTTTGAAAACCTTTAGTGTTGTTCCAGCAACCTTCTTAAGATATGCTGGTAGAATTTTCATTGGGAAGTGCTGAACCTGCAGGGGTTATACAGCACCTTTGGAAAGGAAGGAATTAGGTTTCATCCACAGAAGTTCTAATTCCTTGAATCAAGAACCCTTTAATAATCATGATAAATACATGGAATAGCTTACCAGAAGCAATTTACATTGGTTGGTTTATTGTTTAAATTATATTAACTAAATGTAACCTTAACACTGCCAATCACTACTTTAGAGTTAGAAGGCTATACACGTTTCAAAATCACAGCTATTCTAGCTTAAAGATATTCAAACGGTCTTTAATTATCAAATTTATTTCTGTAACTATCTCACATTTGCTCCTTGTTAACAAATTACATCTTCTATACACAGCAGTTAAAAACTTACCAAATTATCATTATTCTATTAAAAATTAAGGCAACATAAAAAAAAAATTACCTATGGTACACTTATTTGTAGTTGCATGAAAAGCTACATCTACATCAATTACACGAAAAACCATTTGAAAACTATTAATAAAAAAATAATTAACAATAGTTAAAAAGATATTAAAAAAGTGCTATATTTATATGGGCCATATAATGTTAACAAGATGCTGGTTTTGATTTGATGCAAAAGTAAAATCAAATAGTAACAGATGATAAAATAAAAATTTGACAATTTTGTTAGAGGCTATATTAAATAATTGCCTATCTTCTTTGTAATAGTATTTCCTTATTACAACCTGCAAAGAAATGGATGTGAATGCCATTTTTTAATATACCATAATGAATCAAATATTTACACAATTTAAAAAAATACATATAAAAACCACAAGAAATACATCTTAAATCTTCAGCCGTCTGAAGTGCGTGTGTGTCTTGTCTGGACGTGCTTGGCATTTTGGATGTAAAGATCAGAGATACAGTACTATACAGTAAAATCTTTTACAGCATATACCATGTTCACAAAGGTGTGCCAAACTCGTGAGTCATTCAGTGCTGCATAAGGGACATGCTATACTTACATTACGAGGTCCAGTACATGCAAATGTTGTACATTGGGACTAACACCCTAGCAGATACAATGACATTTTAGTTATTATATGTTTACATTGAAGCATATATGTGAACAGTATTTAGATAAAGGTAGGGAAGTTCTTATTGCATTTATGGATTTAGAAAAGGCATATGATAGAGTGGATAGAGGAGCAATGTGGCAGATGTTGCAAGTATATGGAATAGGTGGTAAGTTACTAAATGCTGTAAAGAGCTTTTATGAGGATAGTGAGGCTCAGGTTAGGGTATGTAGAAGAGAGGGAGAATACTTCCCGGTAAAAGTAGGTCTTAGACAGGGATGTGTAATGTCACCATGGTTGTTTAATATATTTATAGATGGGGTTGTAAAGAAGTAAATGCTAGGGTGCTCGGGAGAGGGGTGGGATTAAATTATGGGGAATCAAATTCAAAATGGGAACTGACACAGTTACTTTTTGTTGATGATACTGTGCTTATGGGAGATTCTAAAGAAAAATTGCAAAGGTTAGTTAATGAGTTTGAGAATGTGTGTAAAGGTAGAAAGTTGAAAGTGAACATAGAAAAGAGTAAGGTGATGAGGGTATCAATGATTTAGATAAAGAAAAATTGGATATCAAATTGGGGAGGAGGAGTATGGAAGAAGTGAATGTTTTCAGATCACTTGGGAGTTGACGTGTCGGCGGATGGGTTTATGAAGGATGAGGTTAATCATAGAACTGATGAAGGAAAAAAGGTGAGTGGTGCATTGAGGTATATGTGGAGTCAAAAAACGTTATCTATGGAGGCAAAGAAGGGAATGTATGAAAGTATAGTAGTACCAACACTCTTATATGGATGTGAAGCTTGGGTGGTAAATGCAGCAGCGAGGAGACGGTTGGAGGCAGTGGAGATGTCCTGTCTAAGGGCAATGTGTGGTGTAAATATTATGCAGAAAATTCAGAGTGTGGAAATTAGGAGAAGGTGTGGAGTTAATAAAAGCATTAATCAGAGGGCAGAAGAGGGGTTGTTGAGGTGGTTTGGTCATTTAGAGAGAATGGATCAAAGTAGAATGACATGGAAAGCATATAAATCTATAGGGAAAGGAAGGAGGGGTAGGGGTCATCCTCGAAAGGGTTGGAAAGAGGGGGTAAAGGAGGTTTTGTGGGCAAGGGGCTTGGACTTCCAGCAAGCGTGCATGAGCGTGTTAGATAGGAGTGAATGGAGACGAATGATACTTGGGACCTGACGATCTGTTGGAGTGTGAGCAGGGTAATATTTAGTGAAGGAATTCAGGGAAACCGGTTATTTTCATATAGTCAGACTTGAGTCCTGGAAATGGGAAGTACAATGCCTGCACTTTAAAGGAGGGGTTTGGGATATTGGCAGTTTGGAGGGATATGTTGTGTATCTTTATACGTATATGCTTTTAAACTGTTGTATTCTGGGCACCTCTGCAAAAACAGTGATAATGTGTGAGTGTGGTGAAAGTGTTGAATGATGATGAAAGTATTTTCTTTTTGGGGATTTTCTTTCTTTTTTTGGGTCACCCTGCCTCGGTGGGAGACGGCCGACTTGTTGAAAAAAAAAAAAAATGTACATAAATTTTATCTTAATATCTTTTTAAATTTACTTACCTTCAAAATGTGGTGCAGCTATTTTAACAGAGCATGATCAAGTACAAAAGCATCTCCTGCACACTTATCCCATCAGTGGCATCGAATATCATGAATAGCCTTGAGAAATCCAGTGGGAAGTGAAATTTGGAAAGCATCAAATTGTAATACAACCAAATTGAGACATAGGTAATTTAGGGCTGGTATATACGAAATATCTCCATGGGGGTAGTGAAGAATTTTTCTATAAGCTATTCGTGTCATAAGAGGCAACGAAAGTGCTGGAAGCAAGGGGCTAGTAACCCCTTTTGTATAAATTACTTAAAGAAAAAGTATTTCTTTTTCAGGTCTCTCTGCCTCGGTGGGAGACAGCCAGGATGTTAAACAAAAAAGTACAAAATGCAGTATAAGTATTAAAAGGAAAATATAGTGCAAGAAAGTACTGCTCAGTTTTTTTTTTTATCAAACCTGCCATATCCCACTGAGGCAGGGTGACCCAAAAAGAAAAACAAAAGTTTCTCTTTTTAACTTTAGTAATGTATACAGGAGAAGGGGTTACAAGCCCCTTGCTCCTGGCATTTTAGTCGCCTCTTACAACACGCATGGCTTCAGGAGGAAGAATTCTGTTCCACTTTCCCAAGGAGATAAGAGGAAATAAACAAGAACTAGTAAGAAAATAGAAGAAAACCCAGAGGGGTGTGTATATATAGGCTTGTACATGCATATGTAGTGTGACTTAACTAAGTAGAAGTAGCAAGATGTACCTGAAATTTTGCATGTTTATGAGACTAAAAGAGACACCAGCAATCCTACCATCATGTAAAACTATTACAGGTTTCTGTTTCACACTAGGCAGGATGGTAATACCTCCCTGGGTGGTTGCTATCTACCAACCTACTACCTAGGACTGCACATAGCATGGACTGGTCCTTTCGCTAGTACCACTGCTGTGGAACATTGGTAACTAAGAGACTGGACTAAACAAGACCCTAGTGGGTTTAACATTTTTATTATAATAATAAATAGTAATAATAGTAATAATAATAATAATAATAATAATAATAATAATAATGGACTCCACTAATAATTTGGCTTCAACCCTTTAAACTGAATTATTCATATAATCCTTGCACTCAAATGTGTCCATGTGTCTAATCTTGAAATCCTAATTGCATCAGAAATCAGGCAAAGGTATGGTAAAAATAACTGTAAAAAGTAAATTTTCTGTAGATTAACACACTGGCTTTCAAATATATGACAGAATTGATAAGTTGGGAAAATACACATGCCATCAAGGAGGGATTATTACTGCTTTGCTCTATTTACTAGTCTGAAGACTAATGCAGAAAGAACTTCAACTGAGATTCGTAGACCTGAGAGAGCAAGACTGACACCAATCAATTCATCTTTTATTTTAACAGACAGGAAGAGCAATGATTGTCTGCAACAACACTAGTACAAGTACTTCAGAGTTTGCATCACTAGCTGATGTAGATGCAACAAAACATGAATTATTGAATGAAAAAAAATTAAGAAATGTGCACATTTCATTCATAATGTTATTAAAACAAGAAAAATCTTTAAACAATTGCCTAACATGGCCATTGCAACTTTTTTAACAGATCACTTTTGTCAGTCTCTTCAACTAGTGTATGACTGATATTGCACGTGTATCAGTGTAATTTTCTTTAACTACACTGGTAGTTTTCCACTAAGGTAGGGTGACTAAGAAAAGATACATTAATCATTCATTCATTCAATAGTCTTTTAATTGTAATAGTTATTTAACTGGATTCATTGTGTAAAAAACCCACAACTATTGTTGCCAAATCAAATCTGTAAATACTGCAGTTCACTATTAGCTTAACTAACACTGTTGGTACCCAGTTCTTGGATCCATAATGTGACTACCACCCACTGGATAGATAAGGGGTTCATAATACAACTAACTAGTTTCGGCTACAACAGACATTTGTGTAACAGTTCCTACTATTATAAGTACATGTATTACTAATTGGCAAGGAACCTAAATTCAATTTATATTAATTTCTAATCTAAGTTACTGTGAATTATATTTCACTTTCTGAAATGGCACCCAACAATATGAGTATCTATGTATACATATATACTGGATAACTCCTTGACAAACAGTACTGATAATGAAGGCACAAAGCTTAGCTGGTTCAATAAAAAAAAAATGCCAATAGTCTATTATTAGTCACTGTAACTTCTAAAACTTTCAAAATCACTAGAAATGAAGAGCACAATATTTTAAGTTTAATAAATTATAAGTATATCAAGTGACAATATTTACCAGTGGAATAATCAGTAGATAAATAATCTTGCACTGCTAACATCTTTGGGCATAATTTATTTATTCATGTACATTCTTTCCTCATGCTAAAATTACAAATTATCTGATATGGTAACTGGTACTTTTAGTCTGTTTTGCTGGAGACTTAAATCTACCAGTTTAAACCAACCCTTAACTGCTGCCTGTTGGAATTTAGCTACTCCCCCCCCCCTCCTCCCACTATAGCCTGTAATTTAAGTTTCTTTGTAACAAACTTCATAAGTATGTGGAAAACAGTTTTCCAGGCAATACATCTACATGGAAAATAACTTTCAGGCAGCAATAGATCTATATGGAAAACAACTTCCCAGGCAGCAATAGATCTACATAGAAAACAGCTTCCCAGACAGCAGATCCATGCGATGCACTGCTTAAGTTATGTAATCATTTCCTTAAACTTCTTTACACACAATGAAGCTAATTTTTTTTGAACATTCTAGTTTTTAGCCCAAGACAGAAGGCACAGAGATATTCAATAAATTCTGAAAGCATTGCAGCTGAGATTTAAAGGGCTTTAAAGTACAAATTATGTGAAGAACTGAATTTACGCAAATTAAGCAAATACTCCCTCCTTTTATGAAAAATCTTTAATACGTACAGTATTAAAGAAAAACTGTTATACATGTTTATTATTTTTTTGTACTTGCTATACACTCCACCATGAAGCTGAAGATCAATATATTACAGTGTACTCAGTAACAAGTTACAGGTATTTAATAGTATATTTAAGTACTAAAGCAATGGAACTAAACTATGGACATTAGATTTGGTTACTTAATTTTGTTGTGATACAGGTTTGGAGGCAAATCTGGCCTACAAATAAAAAATCACATAAAAATGTAAGTAACACTGAGTTATTCTTCATTAAGATAGACCATACATACTACTACAATTATCTATGTGCAATGTTTCACCATATATCAAGGCTGGAAAAAGTAACTTCATAAAGCATTAACTGCTATGAAACAAAGTTTTATTTGGTGAACTAGTTGAATAAAAACTAACCTAAATCTTGGAAGTAATGTTCCTTCCCTCTTGCATATAGTAGGAGGAAAGGATTACAAAATAAATGAAAGATGCTGTTAAATTATGATCACAATGCTAACTTAAAGCCTAGGCTAATAAAGCAGCCATTACCTTAGAACCTGAGGTGCAGAAAGAACCAGTTCAAAAAAACAGAAGGTAAAGTTGCAGATAACATGTGGTGATGTCAGTGATCATAAAAAAATAATAAAAAAGTGTGTGCACTAACCTATTGGTGGTTGCAGTTAGCTGCATGTACCTGCACTAATTAAAATAGAGTTAAACAGTTTTTAATGGACCTGCTGTTGGAGTATGAGCAAGGAAACTTTTATGAAAGGATTTAAGAAAACCAGTTAGCTGGATATGAGAAATGGAGCTCATAAAGGAGTGCCTGCATTTTATATAAAGGGTGGGGATGTTCAAGTCAGAGGGTTATCTGATTGTGATTCTAGCACACTCCTGGAAAGATAGCAATTCAGTGAATACTGAAGAATGTTTTCCTTCACCTTGCCTTGGTAGATGTTAAGTTTTTAAGCCAACGATACATAGGTTTACATCTGGGTTTTCAATGCGGAAAATGCAAAACTTTTACTTCTCTTTTGCTTGCGACAGGGCTCAACATGGCCGACACGGCAGGTTGTGTAGCGGGCTAGCTGCGGGATTTTCAAGGATAGCTCCTGGTCAAAGAGGCTGACCAGGTCCCTACTTAACAGAACTCAGTGTGAATGCTTTGAGAAGATACCAGGGCAGCGATCGGGACATCCCAGTGCATCGTTTCAGCGTAAACAGTTGAAGTGTTGTGCAGTTTCAGAGGATTTGGTGTTGTCGAGTCAGGACCAGTCAGCGCCTCCCCCCCTCTCCGCTGGGGGGAGGGGGAGGGCGTGTGTAGTAAACAGTGACCCTCTCATAACGCCTCGCCCCTGCCCGTCTCCCCCGCCTCACCCACCCAACTCCCAGCGCCACCCCATCTGTAGAGGGTACTTCTCCCCTAACCCACGATGTCAGCGATGGCACTGCAGGGAGTGCCGGGCTCACAGGAACTTCCACTACAGGGACAGCATCGTGGAGTTCGACCGCGAGGCAGCTGTCAGGTGTGCCACAGGCAGTGTGTACTCAGTTCCTCAAGCTTCAACATCCGTGCACACGAGGGCCTGGGATCTTCAATCAACTTGGCGTCCACCAGGACGGTGACATGTCCCTAGGGGAGCTCTCCATCGGGCTGCTAACGGAGTCACTGGCTTCTTGGACCTCTTGGGGAGGGTCGATGGTGCTCGTGCAAGCAGCAGATCCCGGGGCAACCTGCTGCTGTTTGCAATGGCTGTCTACCGAGGAGAGACAGGCACCTAGCAACATCTGTTGTTGGGGCAATGGATGAATTCCCTGCTATGTTTGTTAACTGCTCATTACTCTGTAATTTGTCTATGATTGTAATCATGTGATAACGTGTTTATCATTCATAACCTTTGAAACTTGTCATGATTTTGACCAGCTCTACCTGGAGCTCATTACCTTTGTAAATTCTCATGATTAATGTGTTTATGATTCATTACCTTTGCAATTATTCATGAGTGTGACCAGCTCTACCTAGAGCTCATTACCTTTGTAACTTGGTCATGATTATGACCAGATCTAGTTCATTACCTTTGTAACTTGCTCAGCTATCAAAACTTTGGAGTCCAGTCCCTGGACCAATTATGTACCTCTGTAATCTTTTGACTACCGCCCACAGGATGGGTATGGGGTGCATAATAAACATATTAAACTAAAACTAACTCTTTTGCTTGATATTTGGACTTGGACAAATAAAAACATAAAACTAAACGAGGGTGAGAGACCTTGATAATCAGAGGTAATCTCAGTGAAATACAGATTGGCGATTTTGGTTTCTTTGATTGTGGTACTGTCAGCCTGCAGCTTGTAGAATCAGTGAAGGATCTCTGTATTTACTAGGATTCTTTATCATCATTTACTTGGCATATCAACCAGATTTAACAATCTGGGAATTTCCATATTCTTAAATCCTATGCAGTCAGAAAGTATCTTCATTAACAGAGCACTTTGATCCTCATCCATGTTTTTTATTTTCCATCTCCAATTGATTTTTGCAACTGTTTGTGATAGGAAGCTGAAATGGCTCCCTATCAAAGCAAGAATTGAGTTTAAACTCTGCTTATTAACATCTGAAGCTATTAAGTTTAAAGAACCAAAGTATTTTGTCGATATGCTTGTACCTTTTGCATTAGGCTCAGATGAATTTGCTACAAATTGCTGTGAACCCTTTTAGACAGCCTAGCGCTGTCGAGGAGAAATCATCTGTGGAAACAGACTTTTCTTATGTATTTCCCAGATAGTATGACATGTTAACGGTCAGAGTGAGGCACAGAAAAGTAATGTGTATACAAAATACTGAATGCAGGAATTCGAGAGCCACAACAGGAAAGGACACCAACATAAATCATCAGATTTGTTAACATTCAGGAGAAATAAATATATTGTAGGATCATGGAGATCATGAAGTATGAAGGAATTGGGTATTAAGGTAATCATGTAATAAAGAACCATTAGATGCAGCAAACACTTGACAGGAAAGCACCCTCCCCCACATACAACCCCCCCCCCCCCGACACACACACACACCCATACTCATACACAAACCACCATGATGATGGATTGCATCCAGCATGGAGATAGAATACCATAAAGTAACCACTAAGCCCAAAAGGGAAGCTAGAGAGGCCGAAGGGTATGCTTGGTCCCCATAGTTAAGCTTAAGACACTACAAGTGGAATGGAGGAAGCAGCTGGGTATGTTTGGTTTCCAAAGACAAGACAAAATCCATAGAAGAATTAACTTTCCTCTATGATCCACTTTATACATGAACATATTACATTCCCACATATGTATGTCAAGTGAAGACTAGGACTAGGAATTATGTGGTCTTGCAAGTCTGAATAGAGGATCCACTAGTGACAACAGGCAATACAGAAGGAAATGTCATCTTGCTACTGGGTTAAGGCCCAACAAGAAACACTGTCAGTAGCCTCCTGTAATGAGGCAGCCACCAGCTGAGCATTAATATAAGCATAAGCTATAGCCAAGTCATCAACACACAAAGACCAGAGCCAGGATGACATGGTGTAGCAAGTATATTAAGAGCAAGAAACAATATTATACTAAGAGCTCAATCTAGATAAACTCTTGTGCTGAATGAAGTTTGGAGAATAAGTCTGGCTAACTCATTTCCCTAAATTCCTCAAGAAATGTTACTTTGCTCAAGCTCCAACAGCACCTTTTAAATGTAATTAATATGTTGTGGATTAAATTGTATTAAATGTAATTATTCCAAAATATTTACATCAATCTTTAGTTGAATTCATACTAAGCAGAAAAATTCATTTAATTTATGAATGCATACAACTTGTTGTCTAATTACCCATTTATATTTATAAAAGAAAAGTTATGAGTATATTTCAAATATTTTACTAGGTTGAAGCAGGATATTGTTATTTTCACCAGTCCAAATACAGTTTTCAATTTAATACACACATGAAAATAAGGGTCTGGAGCTATACAAGACCAAAGCCTTCACTCTGTTGGATTGCTTGCAACAGCTTGTATCTTAGCTTTTCCTTTGTACTGTATTTAGGCAGATCAAGCTGACCAATACATGTATGGGCAACTGGAAGGAAGGAATCATCTGCAGTAGACTGTATAATCATCTTCAAAGCCTGCAAGAAAAAACAAAAAATGAATAAACTTGTTTATAAAATCAAAGGAATTACAGTGTAACCCTGGATTTCATCAGCACCAGATACCATATGATTTGGATTTCAACTACTTTTTTCAGGGAAATTTTGCTCCGGATGTACCCAGTCGCAGAAATCGTCTGTATCAGACACGTGTACCTGCCTGGGATGCCGCCACTCGTGCGTACGTTTCTCAGTCTGGCTCTGTCACTGGTTGAGTGAGCATTCATCCGAAACATTTTGTAATAATCCATTGATTTTTGTGTTTGTTTATTAAGTGTGACTGCAAAATAAGCCATCATGGGCCCAAAGAAAGTTCCTGGTAAAGAAGGTGAGAAACACTATAGAATTCAGGAAAGAGATTGTAGAAAAATATGAAAGTGGCATACATGTGGCTGAGCTCTCCAGGATGTATGGCAAGTCCAAATCAACACTCAGTTCCATCCTGGCAAAGAAAGTAGAAATAAGGAAGCTGACGTTGCGAAAGGGGTAAATATGCTAACGAAACAGAGATCACAAACAGTGATTAAGAATATTTGTGCAAAGTGGAATGAGGTACAAACTTTTGATGAAAAATATCACCCTGACCAACCTGAAGAAACAGAGCTCTCTGGACAAATTTTTAGTGTAATAGGGGTCCAGTGCCAGTAAAAGACAAAGAAGGGAAGTATCCCTGGACAGGGCTTTGATACCTGATGTCCTTATGGAGGGGGATTCCCCTTCCAAACAATAATCTTTGCTCCTCCTCCCTCTCCCCTCCTCGCTGTCCATACCCCAACAAGAGTCTTCAATAAAGGTAAGTGTGATATTAAATGTTCATTTCTCCATTTCATTAGTCATTTATATTTCTTTCTCATTGTTTTCTGTATGTAAAACTATAGTTATTCTTTAAAGAATGTATGTTTTGTTAATATTTTTGGGTGTCTGGAAAGAATTAATTGTATTTACATTATTTCTCATGGGAAATATTGTTTCAGTTTTTGTCTGTTTCGGATTTAGACCAACCTTCTGGAACAGATTAAGGACGAAATCCGGGGTTCCACTGTACTGGATGTATTTCTTTGTGCATACTGGGTGTTTAAGATACATACCATGGGCAAGTTTCTTTACTTTGTTCACACAGCCATAGATAGGTAACAGTATGCAAGTCGACTGTTGTAGGTGTTGCATCCTAGGGGGTGGCAGTATACCTTAGATAAGACTGGGTTACTAGATTTTTTGACAATTGTTGCAAGATGCATATAGTGCCTCTACTCCCTCTCTCAGGACCCACAGAAATATGTGGTCCCACCACCTTTTAGTAATTTAGCTCACATAGCAGCAGCTTCACCTCTCCAGTTGTGTGTATTGTGTCCAATGCTCGCTGGTGCACTCTGCCGCTGCAGTTTGCTGGTAGCCTTCTAGTCTCCTCTGACAATACCTCCCTAAATCTCTTGCTGAGCTCTTCAGACTTCCTGGTGAGCTTGTGAGCTCCCCTCCTTCAGCCTAATTACCTGGTCCCTTACTGTTGTCCTCCTCCTGATGTGGCTATATAACTATAGGTAAGATCTGGCTTTTGATGCAATGCCATTCTCAAATTGCTGTTGAGCTTCTCTTATCTATGCATACTTGTTTCTGGTTCTTCAGCTCAACTCCTTATTTTCCCCAAGTTCTTTGTCTTCTATGCTTTTTCCATGCTCTAGCATATTTAGCTTTGGCCACACTACACCTCTAGGTAAACCATGGGCTCACTCTGCTCTTCCCACTGTTTCTATCGCTCCTGGATACAAGTTTCTTCTCTGCCTCCCTGCAATTTGTGGTCACATATTCCATCTCATTCACTGTCTTTCCCTCTAGTTCTCTCTGCCACAGCAACTCATATAAGAATTGCCTCATGAATACACAGTCTCCTCTTATTGAAGTTTGGCTTCTTATATCCTTCTCATGCCATTTCTCTTTCCACTGTTACTTCCACAGGGTGTTTGAAACTCACAATCATTTGGTCACTAGCACCAAGGGGCCTTTCATATATAATATCTCCTATGTAATAACTACTCTGGGTGAATACAGAGACCTGTCTTGCTGGTTCATCGTCTCTCTTTGTGAGTGTATCCTTCACATGTTGGTGCATGAAGTTCTCCAGCATCTTAGCCCTCCATGTTTCTGGTCCTCCCTTGTGGCTCTAGGTTCTCCCAGTCAATCTCTTTGTGGTTAACCCTTTCAGGGTTTCAGCCGTACTAGTTCGGCTTATGCACCAGGGTTTTTGACATACTAGTACGTCTAAATTCTAGCGCCTTCAAATCTAATGAGAGAAAGCTGGTAGGCCTACATATGAAAGAATGGGTCTATGTGGTCAGTGTGCGCGGTATAAAAAAAATCCTGCAGCACACAGTGCATAATGAAAAAAAAAAAATTTGACCGTGTTTTTGAATTAAAACAGCGACTTTGCACTGTATTTTCGTATGGTATTTATTGTTTGTATTCTAGTTTTTCCTGGTCTCATTTTATAAAATGAAAGACATATTACAGAAATTGAGATGATTTTGACTGGTTTTACAAAGAAAAGTACCTTGAAATTGAGCTCAAATAGCAGAAATGTTTGATTTTTACCAAAGTTCAAAAGTAAACAAATCATGCTATGCATCCAATACACGTCAATTGGTGAGTTTAATATTCTTTCACAAGTGCACTGATATTATTTATACTATTTCTACACTAATGCAGTAGTCTGCATAACAGTAAATCTTCTATTTTTTTGTGAGAATAAAAATTCAAAGTGGAAAGCAAAAGAATGTAAGAGGGGCATGGGGACATGACTAATGAACAGAGGAAATGTTATTTTAGTGCCAGGAATGCCTTTCTTGTTTATTCTGGACCCTATTTGGAAACTGGCATCTTTTCAAATTTGTGTGAAATTGGCAAAATTGCTAAATTCTGACCACTGTATTGGATAGTTGAAATCGGTAAATGGGTGGTTTCTTGTACTCATCCGATAGAAAAAAATGGAGTTCTAACGAAATAGTTATGATTTTTGTTGACTAGTACACTGGAATTGGCCGAAAATAGGGCTCAAAGTGGGCAAAATCGCCGATGCGTAAACATCGTCGAGACTGCTAACTTCATGAGAGCATAATTCCGTATGTTTTCCATCAAATTTCATACTTTTGGTGTCATTATGATCGGGAAAAGATTCTCTATCTTTTCATAAGAATTTTTTTTTTTTTTTTTTTTTAAATTTGGCCGACCCTGAGAACAAGTCTCTGAGAGGGCCTGTCGACCCTGAAAGGGTTAAAGTCCCCCATTACCAGTAGCTTTGCTCTGATCATGTGAGCCCTTCTGGCCATCTCAGCTAGTGTATCCACTATGGCTCTGTTGCTCTCATCATATTCTTGTCTTAGCCTCTTGCTGTTTAGTGAAGAGTTGTACATTACTGCTATCACCACTTTGGGATCCCTGGCCTTCAGTGTGCCTACTATGTGGTTATTTGCTTCCCCTGTGTCTATTCCTACCATCACCTCAAAACTCCACTGATTTCTGATAAGAGGGAATGGAGGGGCAGCCCTTGCTGTCCCTCTATTCCCTTGGCCTTTCTTAAAAATCTGGGATCCTGCTAGAAGATCTTGTCTGTTATCTGTGTGTTGGTGGAGAGGGAGGGATTAAGTATGGTATATTTTGGGTTATTGTGTTTGGGTGAGGGAGGCAAGGACTTGAGGGAAGGTCTGTGTAGGTGTGGCTGGCAGTCCTTTAAAGGCTGAACTTCCAGGTCTGTTGATGTATGCTCTATCTCTCCTTCCTGCTTTTGAATATGTGTACTTACATATATACATACATGCACACATATATGCATTCACATACACACATACAGGAGGGTACCACTCATATGGCGGGTTAGGTTCGAGGCTACCGCCGTAAAGCGGAAATCACCAGGAAGCAAATCACACTTTTTTACTTATAAATGCATATAAATGCTTCATAACATGTTTACACTATCATATTATATTAGCAATAGAATTAGGCATTAAAAACAAAGTAAAATACACATACAGTACTCATTACTTACCTTAAAATACTTACAGCCGTAATGTAGGGTGAGAAGTAAGTAATAATTATTGTAAGAAGTCAGGTGTGGTAGCTTGCCCAGCTACCACACCTACATGAAATATACAACAGGTAAAGCACCCCAGAGCAATTATTATCATCATCATTATCGACATACCTTGTTCGCTGAGTAATCATTTCTTACAATTACCCTTAGAGACGCAGAGAATGTAAACGAGAAGAAGAACACGTATTAATTCCTGTTCACTTACAGTTCATACACATTCATTTTGCACACATTTGTGTAACTTTTACCCCACAATACAAACCTTACACTGTGTACAAGATGTCTTCACTTTGGTGCAGTAGAATAAACAAACAGGAACGCTCTCATTCTCATGCAGCACACCATTTTTAGAGGGAATGACACTATGAGTGAAGGTACACAACTACCACATCTCATATTTGTGTCAATTTGCTCTATTATGGTTGTACTATTTTTTTTTTTCCAACAAGTCGGATGTCTCCGACTGAGGCAGGGTGACCCAAAAAGAAAGAAAATCCCCAAAAAGAAAATACTTTCATCATCTGGTGGCCTGGTGGTTAACGCTCTCGCTTCACACGGTGAGGGCCTGGGTTCGATTCCCAGCCAGAGTAGAAACACTGGACGTGTTTCTTTTCACCTGTTGTCTATGTTCCCCATCAGTAAAATGGGTACCTGGGTGTTAGTCGACTGGTGTGGGTCGCATCCTGGGACACTGACCTAAGGAGGCCTGGTCACAGACCGGGCCACGGGGGCGTTGACCCCCGGAACTCTCTCCAGATAAACTCCAGATCATTCAACACTTTCACCTCACTCACACATAATCACTGTTTTTGCAGAGGTGCCCAGAATACAACAGCTTAGAAGCATATATGTATATGTATAAATATATGTATAAATAAATATATATGTATAAATATAT